ACAGGCCAGGCTTTCTGCTATTCCCTGGGGGACATGATGCTCTTGCATAGGTCAGAGGACATCCTGTGGGAGTCAGTGCTGTGGAATAATCTTTCTCTACACTGTTAATAGACTCATAGATGACTATTCTATGATGAGATGACATGTCTCTATGAGTGATTTAATAAACAAACTGACTGACCAATAGCTGAACAGGATAAAGTTAGGCAGGAAAACCAAACTGAGAATGATGGGAGGAAAAAGAGTGGAGATGCCAGCCAGCCACTGAGCAAGCAGGACATATACAAACTGAGATAACAAGCCACGAGCCATGTGACAAATCTCAAATAAGAAATATGGGTTAATTTAAAATATAAGAGTTAGTTAGTAACAAGCCTGAGCTATTGGCTGAGCATTTGTAATTATTATAAACCTCAGTGTATTGATTTGGGAGCAGATGGGGGACAGGAAAACTCCTCCTATAAGTCAGTTCTCTCCTTCCATTATGTGGGTCTCAGGGCTCTAACTCAGGTCAGCAGACTTGGTCCACCAGACTTTCTGAATTGAGACTGGTGACTGAGTCATGGCACCAACCATCGCTGTTTCTTAGCAACAAACAAGGTATATTTTAAAAATAATGAGTCTCTTTGACCTTTCCCTAGAACCCCAAGTACTTGTGCTTTTCTCCTTGCTGTGTCAAAATGCCTGACAGAAGCAACTTAAAGGAGAGGGGATTTATTTTGGCTCACGGCTTCAGACTATCACAGTGGGGAAATGTATCAGTCAGGGTTTGTTGCAGAACATTACTTTAACCATGTAAAGATGTGTTGTATTTGTTTATATTGCAGAATATTCTTTTAACAACATGAGGTGTGTTGCATTTGTTTAACTAGGCAAAGATGTCTTACATTTGTTTATGTTGTATTTGTTTGATTATGTAAAGATGTGTTGCATTTGTTGCACCTTGCCTGCCTAAGGCAACTGATTTGTCTAATAAAAAGCTGAATGGCCAATGGCTAGGCAGTAGGGAGATAGGACAGAGAATAAGCAGGAGGAGGAATCTAGGCTTGGGAGAGAAGAGAGAGAATGAGGGAGAAAGAAAGGGAGATGTCCAGGGCCAGCCAGTCACCAGCCAAAAGACACAGAGGAGGACATACAGAATAAAAGAAAGGTAATAAGCCCTGGGGCAAAAAATATGAAGAGAAACAGGTTAATTTAAGTTATAAGAGTTAGCAAGAAACAGCAGAGAGAAATATATAGCTCAATAAAAACAATTTTTAAAAAGTTAGCAAGAAACAAGCCTAAGCTAAGGCCAAGCATACATAACTAATAATAAGTCTCCATGTGATTGGCAACCCACAGAAAACCTTGCTACAACAGTTCCCTAAAGAAACAGAGCTGAACTGGGCAGTGGTGGTGCACACCTTTAATCCCTGCACTCTGGAGGCAGGGGCAGGTGGATCTCTGAGTTTGAGGCCAGTATGGTCTGCAGAGTGGGTTCCAGGACAGCCAGGGCTACACAGAGAAACCTTGTCTCAGAAAACCAAGAAGAGAAATAAATAAACAGATAAAAAGAAAAAAAAAGAAAACCAAGAAAAAGAAAGAAAGAAACAGAGCTGATAGAATGAATATGTATATAAACATATATTAAGAGAACGTATTAGGTTATCTTATAGGATGTGGTCCAGATAAGCCAACACGGGCTGCCTCACTTGAAAGACTAGACTCCAGTAGTTGTTCAGTCTTGAGGCTGGGTGCCTGAATAGTCCCAGTGCAGTTCTGGGATCCTGGAAGATTCCTGAAGAGCTACAGGTCTCCAGACTACATTGGAATCCCAAAGAGGTTGGTTCTAAGACCGGCAGAAGAATGCCTCAGCCACAGGAGAGGTGATCTTGCCAGCAAAAGTGGGGACAAGATGACAAAAGCAAAGTTTCCTTCTTCCATGTCCTTTTATTTGGCTGCTCTGCCCCCAGATTTAGGACTGGTCTTCTTGATTCAAATAATCTGATCAAGAAAATACATCACTGTGGGGCATGGCAGCACATATCTTTAATCCTAGCACTTAGGAAGCAGAGGCAGGCAGTTGAGGGTAGCCTTGTCTGCATAGTGGATTTCAAGACAGCCAGGGCTACATAGTTAGACCCTGCCTCACAGAGAGAGAGTCCCTCACAAGGTTCGCAAGAGACAAGCGTGCACTCTGGCATCACAGGGAGGCATAACAGATCTGACAGCCTTACAAGTGTGTGGTGGAGACTCTCCACACCTTAGCAGATCAGAAAGCCAAGGAGGACTCAAACCGAAAACAGGGCAGCACTAGAACCCTCAAAAGTTCCCAGGCCAATTGGACATGGTGGCACATGCCTTTAATGCCAGCACTCGAGAGGCAGAGACAGGTGGATCTCAGAGTTCAAGGCCAGCCTAGGCAACAGAGCCAGTTCTAGGACAGCCAGGACAGTCCAGTCTCTCTCTCTCTCTCTCTCTCTCTCTCTCTCTCTCTCTCTCTCACACACACACACACACACACACACACACACACACACACGTTCTCAGGTCAGGGACCCACACACCAGACGGCACAATCCCCCACCCCCACCCCTGAACAGCACCCCCATCTGTGGAGCAGGAGTAAACCCAATGGAGGAGACATTCTGTACCCAAACCACAACAAAGGCCAATCAGGAAAGGCCTCGGAACGGTCTCTCCTGGCTGTTCCTGTGACAGGCCCAAGCAATGTCACATGACTACATCTATGGACCAATCGCCATCTTCTTGCCTCTAGCCTGCACCTGTTGCCTCTCTCCTCAGAGACCACACTCTCAGATCAGTCAACTGGGCCACAGCCAGTGTAAGCCAGCTGTTGAGCCGTTCAGGGCTGGGGGAGAGGCAGGCGCCTTGCAGCTGGCTTTTCTGGAAGCTTCCCTGTTCCATATGCTTTGTTCCCCACCCGCACCACTCTTGGGTCGCTACAGAGAAGGAGCAATGACAACAGAGAGACTAGGCAGGCTGGTGGCCTGGTGTCAAAACAGATCCAACTGGGTCCGGCTTCGCGGCAAAGCGAGCAGTGGAAATCCTTAGAAACTAGTATTTCAACAGAAACACAGGGGACGGAACAGCGGCCAAGTGGGAGGAAAACCTTGGCCCAGAAACATGCCTTCTGGGCCAGTTTCCTCGTGGGGATCAAAGACAGATTCTGCTGCACCCATCCAGCTCTTGTTAGGGGTCCAGCAATGTCTCAGGCAGTTAGCACCCAGCCGTCAGTCATTCTGCCCTGGCCACAACCCGTGCGAAGGGCTAACCACACCCACTTCACAGAAGGTGAACAGTCACAGAGGACAGCCATGCTGTTGTAAGGGAACCAGGCTCTGTCTTGCAGCTCATGATTGGTTTTTTTGGGGGAGGGGGGACTGACTGAAACCCCACTCCCCCTCCTGCCCCTATCCCCTCCAGCTCCCCTTAGGCACCCAGATGTTTGCACCTGCCTGCAGGCCCACAGCTGGCCACACTCTCCACGCCATCCCCGAATAGAGTGTAAGGGTAGAGAAGCCAGGGGACTTTGTGGCCAAGGAGAAGGACTTTAGTAGGTGTCAGAAAAAATAGTCAAGTGTGAAATGAATTCCTGCAACCTCCTGGGCATGCTAGAACTTTCCTTTTGCCTTCTGACAGTCCCACAGCTAATAAATCAGAGGCAGCCACGGCCAGAATGACCAAAGCAGAGCTGGAAGTAGCTTTTCAGAGAAGCCACCCAGAGGCCAAGAAGGAACTGCTCTGGCTAGCTGCCCCCTTTTCTCCAGTTCTAACTTCCTGCATTTGCTGAGCTCTCCAAGGTGGATAGAAAATCAAAGACAGTTCCAGGATAGATTGTCCACAGTCAGGGCTGAGCCCTGGTTCGGGCAGCTTGTTAGATTTCCTGCGGGGAGGAGAGGCGGCTGGGGAGATGACTTTGCTGGCTAAGTGTTCCCCACGAAAACATGAGGCCCTAAATCCAATCTCCAGAACGTACATTTAAAAAACAGGGCATGGCAGTGCACACCTCTAACCCCGGGGTTCAAGCATATCCTTGATAGTTTGTGGGACCAACTTTTCTACCCAAATCAGCTCTAGGCTCAGTGAAAGACTCTGTCTCAAAAATAAGATGGGGATCCACTGAGCCATCCCCCAATCCTTCACCAAGGGATTCTGGGCAAGTATCTACCACTGAGCCACACATTCCCTAACAACTGTATGTAAGCACCACAAAACTACATCCAGCCCTCCCTTTGGTTTTTAATTTGAGGCAGGGTCTTACTAAGTTGCCCAAGCTGGCCTTGCACTCCCTTGTAGCCTAGCCTGGCTTTGAACTTGTGAATCTTCCTGTCTCATCAGTCCAAGTAGTTAATAAGTCAGTTTTGGGTGTTGTTTCGGGTGCAGAAGCTTGAACATACAAAGGCTTTGTATATATGAGGCAAACACTACCCCTAAACTGTATCTCCAGCTCCCTCCCCCAAACTTCTCTGGAAGAGTGAAGACCTGGTCACTGTGTTCCTCAGGCCTTCCCACAGTCACACAGAGTTCTGCCCTTTGTGACCCCGCCTGACCTTTAGGGGATCCAAAGTCACCCTCCGCTGGGAAAGAGAAAGGCAGTTTTCACTTCAGCCTGAGTGACGGTTTGCCCACTTGGCTTCCTGTGAGGTTTGCATCTCCCTTCCCTTTGTGAAGATGTCTCTTATCTCCAGGCTCTTGGGGGCTTTGGGGGCTGGGCCAATTGCCATTTGGTGACAGTTGGTGCCAACATGAGGCCTTTGGGGAAAACAGCAAAGAGAAAACAAAACCTGAGTGGGAGGCAACCCTGTCACCCTGTATGACCTCAGGGTCTCTTCCCCCCACTCCACCCCCGAAGGAGGTCCTTAAGTTGGCCCCATGCTTCCTACACAATGACCCTCTGTCATCTGCTCAGACTGGACAGTGAGTGACACCGGTCACTCACAGCTGTCACATACAGCTGTCCAGCCAATGTTAACCTTGGTATTTCAAACCAGGACCAGTCCAGGGGCTGAAAATTTATTAGCTCGGCTACGCTGTTCTCCCACCACGGGACCAGGAAGTGTGCAGCTGCGGAGTCTCCATGTGGGTTGCCCAGCTGGACCAGCAGAGGGGTTTGCCCTAGTCCCTGAATTAGAAACTCAGGACTTGGGGACTGGCGAGATGGCTCAGCGGTTAAGAGCACTGGCTGCTCTTCCAGAGGACCTGGGTTCAATTTCCAGCATCCACGTGGCAAGCTCCTAACTTCCTGGAATTCCAGTTTCAGGAGATCTGACACTGTCACACAAACATATAAGCAGACAAAACATGAATGTGCATAAAATAAAAATAAATAATATATATATGAGATTCTGGACTCTTAGAAAAGAGGGGGAGAGGGTCTTCTATAGCCCAAGCTGGCCTCAAACTTGCTATGAATATGCCTGTGGTTTATGCAGCTCTGAAAAGGAACCCAGGACTTCCTGGATGGTAGCTGAGCTGCATTCCTAACCTAGGAACTCAGGTAGAGGCAAAAGGATCAGGAGTTCAAGGTCACCCCTAGCCATGTAATGAGTTCAAAGCTAGCATGAGCTATGGGAGACCTTATTGAAAGAAGGGAAGGAATCAAGGAATCAAAGAAGGGAGGGAAGGAAGGAGAAGGGAAGAGGATCAGACACAGTGGCACCTACCTGTGATCCTAATAGTCAGGAGGCAGGCAAGAATATTTTGGATAGTTCAAGGCCTGGTCTACAAATAAGAGCCTATCTTTAGGAAAGGAGTTGAGGCCTCCCCCAGGGAAAGGAATGCATGTCTGGCATACAGAACTGGTGAGAGAAGCCTGTGGCTAGGGAAGTCAGGCCAGACAGGGGAACTCCTGCTGATGTGTCAAATGACCTCATAAACTGCCTCATATTTTTATTTCTTAATTATTTACTTATTTATTTACTTATTTTGTGTGTGAGGACGCCCACTGCACATGTTGTGAAGGCCAGAGGACAGCTTGAAGGAGTGGATTCTCTCCCTGTCATGCGGGTCCTGGAGATCCAGGTCAGGACTTCAGGTGCAGCAGCAACAGGTATCTTTACTGACTGGGCCATCCGGACAAGACTAAAACTGACTTTTGAACATTTGTATCTATACCATAGACTAGCAAAGTCCGCAGCCTTGGTCAGAGAAGGCTTTCTTTAGTGGGCCTGGGTTAAGGAGGACGTACAATTGGCCAAAGTGCTGAGAATGAAAAGTGGATGTTGAATGCCCAGTCCCAAACGGCGTCACTGCATCTGAAAGGCGTCACGGAGGAGTCCAAGGCCCGAGAACACCTGAGAAGCGGCTGTGGGAGGACTGTGGGAGCGAATGATGGTGAGGAGCGTGGTGGGGCTGTCGCCTGAATCCGACAAGACCCTTGCGATCATGAGTACACAGCAGCTAAGCCTGCATGCGGCGTGGGGGGGGGGGGTATGAGGACAGCAGAGGAGAGAAGCTGGAAAGGTTCTTTGAGCACTGGAGAGAATGGAAGGGGGAGTTGACCACAGTGCATTGTATGATGCTGTCGAAAGTAAAAACATGGAAGAAGAGCAGCTCCGATTTTACCAGGAAAGGAAAAAAAAGATAGAACTTCCTTTTTCTCTTTCTGACATTCAGTATTTAAAAATTTTTTAGTGTTATCGTAATTCATCACATGAACTGATTGATGAATTCAGTATTAACTTCCATTCATATACTGCTAAAAATACATCTTAACAACCAGATTTGTAGGGGCTAGATAGAGAGATGGCACAGTGTTTGAGAGTACTGGCTGCTCTTCCAGAGGACCTGGGTTCAATTCCCAGCACCCACATGGCAGTTCACAACTGTCTGTAACTCCAGTTCCAGTGTAAGTAACATCCTTACGCAGACATATGTGCAGGCAAAACACCAATGCACAAAATAGATGATAGATAGATAGATAGATAGATAGATAGATAGATAGATAGATAGATAGAACAGGTTTATAATCCCAGCACGTGACAGTCAAAGAAGGAAAGTCAGGAGGTCAGGAGTTCAAGGCCTGGTTCAACTATATAGCAGGCATGGGCTACATAAGATCCCATCTCACATAAACAAAAAAGGGGCTGGAGAGATAGTTCAATTAATAGAGAGTTTAAACTTGCCTAGCAAGCTCCATCATGGCTTTGATTCCCAGAGCCAAAAACAAAAAAATAGAAAAACAGGGATGGTGACACATTTGTAACGCCAGCACTCAAGTGGGACCAGGGGGATCCGAAATTCAAGATCATCCTTGTCTATACAGTGAGTTCTAGTTATAGGTCATCCTGAGCTACGTGATGAAACCGGGAGAGCGAAGAGAGAGCCATTGGGAAACTGAGGCTGAGGAGGTGGCCTCCCTTTCGGGTCATCAAGGTTCTTCGTGCACCTGGCAGGGGGCGCTCTTCCCCGACTCACTGGCCTCGACCGGTCGCGCCAGACAGGGTCCCCTAGGAAAGCCTTCTTAAAGCGATTTTCGTTTCGCGCGAACTCAGCGCCTCCATCCAGCCGCGAGGTCTCAAAGGTGAGCCTCTCACAAATGCGTTGCAGATGTTTCTCCTTCCAGATCGGCTACCGCGGCGCGGCGCGGCGCGGCGCGGCGCAGCGCGACTCCAGCGGCCGCACGATCCTGCAGCGATCCGGTCCGCGTTTTCCTTTCCACCCTCCAACTTTTGCAAGCTGTAGTTATTTGATAATGATTTTTTTTTTTCTAAACCTCTCCCAATAATTGTTATCCTCCCCGCCCGGTGCAGCTCAGGTGATGGGTGCAGACAGTAGACGCCTCCTCCTCTTCCCGGGCGTACAGCCCGGGGCCCTGGAGTAAGGAGCCACAGCCCAGTCGGCTTAGAAAGCCAAGGTTAAGCGCCCCGGGACGACCCCAAACGGCCCCCCACGATGATTTTCTTTGCACCCTGAACCCTCCTGGAGCCAGGCCAGCTCTCCCAAAGCCTACTCCAGGGTTGTGGCTATCTCATTTGAAAGGGTGCCACGGGCATAGAGTCCTATGGAATCCAATCCTTGGAACATTGATCGAGCAACTACGGTGTTCCCAAGTCCTGAGCAATGAACTCAACGACTCCAAAACTGCCCCTGCCTGTGGGGAACCTGGTTCGAGAGAGACTCAGGGCCACCCCTCTCACCTGGAAAGATGACAAGGCACTCCCATTAGAGAGAAACATCCGGAAAGCGGCTGCTCTTACTCCTTGGCTCCCATGACGTTCTCGAAAGATCATGGCCGGCCTGAATGAAAATTTCATTAATTAGCCTCTTCTAAACAAAAGGCAGAAAGCAAGATCACCACGGTGGAACTGGGTCCAGGCCCAGCTGCTGGGGTCTCTGAAACTAAGAAAGCAGGTGCCTAGAGTCCCTGAGACAAGAAAGGGAGCCTCCAGAAATAGCCCAGGTGAATTCCACCTCCTCACAAGACCTGGAACTCATGACCCTCCAGCCTAAGCCTCTCAGTTAGGCGTGCGTGCGTGCGTGCGTGCGTGTGTGCGTGTGTGTGTGTGTGTGTGTGTGTGGTGTGTGTGTGTGTGTGTGTGTGCGCGCGCGCTCGTGCGTGCACGCCCCAAGACCAGGTTCCTGAATTTGTTATTGTTTTACTCTGTTTGTTATTGTTTCTCTTCCGTTTGGCGGGTTTTTGCATTTGTTATTTATTTATTTTGTGGGAGTAAGGGAAGGGAAAACACATGTTAAAGCCAGCCTGTGTAGGCCAGAGGATCAACCCTAGGAGTCCATTCTTTCCTCCAGTCACGTGGATTCCAGGGATCCAACTCAAGTCATCAGGCTTGGTGGCAGGTTCCTCTACCTACTGAGCCATCTCGCCAACCCATTTATGTGTGTTTGATACTCAATTAGGAATGATCAGAGAAGGAGCCCTATTGCTGCCAGGGAAAGAGTCTTAACCTCAGCTTGGTTGCCTCCCCTGAAGAGTCCAGAAAGTTTTTCTGCTAAGCCTAAATGAATTGTAAGTTTGTACATAAATGGAGTGGAATTTGGGCAGCCAGCCGCAGGGGTTTAAAGGGGAGAAAGTGAAAGGTTAAGCAGCTCCAGGGGTGATGTGGGGTGCTCAGAAGTAGGGTGGGGGCTGACTGAGGCACTGACTGGGGGGGGTGTCTCGAGTTCAATGTCATCCTCAGTTATGTAGGAATCGTGAGTCTGAAGGCAGACAAGGTTACACAAGACCCTGTCTCAAAACAACAACAACAAAACCTATGGTTTAGGATTCAATCGCTTTTTGTTTTTCCTTTTTCAATCTATTTCGAGACAGGGTCTAACTATGTAGCTTCCCCCCGCCCCAGGCCCCAAACTTATGGAAATCCTCCTGCCTCTTACTCCTGGGTATGCCTGGAACTATGACAGATACCACTGTTGTGCCTGACGTTTAGATTTTCCTGTGGTTAGGGTTTTGTCACATACTCAGGAAACCGTGAACAAAGTTGCCTCCTCCAGGAAGCCTTCCCAACTGCACTGCTAGGTCAGGTCTTTCCTGCCTTTAGAGTCACACACATATACATACAGAATTGGGATGACCCCTGTCTTACCAGGAGCCCCAGGGAGCAGGAATTAGGTGTGCTGGTCACTCCGCTCTCCCACCTGATTAGCTTACCTAAGCCCCCTCTCCTCCAGCTTGTCCCCTGGGGCTCCAGGGGGCACAGCATCCTTAAAGAGGGCCCTCTCAACTGATCGTGCATGGGTGTGATCCCAGCTGAGAAAAGAACGGCTGGAGTTCCCAGCCTGCCACATACCAGGTCAGCCTGGTCTACAGAGAAACCCTGTCTCAGGAATGAATGAATGAATGAATGCTCCATCAATAAATAAAAATAAAGGGGGAATGGCTCCATGAATATAAATGTTTGCTAAACAAGCATAAAGGGTTCAGATCTCTAGCACCTACATTAAAAACCTGGCGTGTCAGCAACACCAGCTCTGGAGCGTGGAGTCAGGAGGATCCTGGGAGCTCTGTGGCAAGCAGTCCAGAGGAAACTGCAAACCCCAGGTTCAGTTAGAGACCCTTTCTCGAAAGCTATGGAGAGGCACTAAAGGGGACCCTGCATGCTGAACTCTGGCCCCTTGTGCACGAAGCACACCCCGACTCATGTGCACGAACACATAAATAGAAGTAAATACAATTTTAAAATGCTACAATCAACCTTTTCCACAAGTCTGCCACGCTCTGCTACCGAGTTGTGGGACCCTCTTCTGGGCCTTTGAGAAGCTGTCTCTTCCTGTCTTTCTACGAGAAGCTCGGAGGCCCTCGCTGCCTGCCAGAAGGGGGCTCCCCAGGCGCCTCCGGGGCCAGCCTGGAGGAGGGGATTGCATGCCTGGCTGGAGGCCCCTTGTCTGAACAGAGGCAGGATTTATCTCAGTTTGGGGAGGTCCAGGGCTCCGGGCCCTTAAATCCTCATTAGCCCCATCTAAGAGGCGGCTATGATCTGAGGGACAAGATGTATGGATTCCAAATTGGAAACAGCCCGGTGGGCTGCAGGGTGGGGAGACAGACAGGGAGAGAGGGTTAAGGCTGCTCTCTGGGGAACCCAGGACAGCAGAGGAGTCCTGCAGACACGGTCACAGGAAAAGGAGGAGGAGGGAAGAAAAAACATTCCAGTCAGGCTCCAGGGAAGAGAGTTGTACAGCGATGGAGCTGGGCCAAGTCTGCGAGTCCAGGCGACCTCCTTGAGGAGACTGGAGCGAGGGCAGGCTAGTGCCGTTCACCACTTGAAGGGCCTGGCTGCGGGGCACACACCCTGGTGGGTCCTGTCTCGCCACCCACAGCCACCCCAGGGAAACAGAAGACACCGTGTTTGCGCTACAGATGAGGAAACTGAGGCTCACAAGTAGTATATGAACCTACCCAAGGCTCCCCCAGAGTACCTGCAAAATTGGGGATCCAACCTAGGTGCCTGGGTCTCTAGGGCTTCGCCAACCACTCTGGAGAAAACAGAGCAGAGCGAAAAGCAGGTAAAGTTTGGATGGCCCCGGGCTAGAGACCGAAAAACAAAGCTGAAGTTTCTCCTAAATATTGGGAAGTGGTGATCTTGGTGAACAGAAATGGAATTAAATGGTATATTTAACTATAAGAACAGATTTGAGGACTGGGGATTGTAGCTCAGTAGTTCAGCACTAACCTAGCACGTGCAAGGGAGAGAAGGGGAAGAGGAGGGAAGAAGGAAGGGAAGGAAGGGGGAGGAGGGAGCTATCTAGGTGGGTGTGGAAGTGCGTGCGTCCCAACACTTGAAGAAGCAAAAGATTGCTGCAAGTGAGAGGCCAGCCTAGACTGTGTACCTAGATCCTGCCTGGAAATTAAAAAGATGAGGAGGAGGAGAAAGAAGAAAGGGAAAGGAAGGAAAGAGGCAGTGAAGAGGAAAAAGGGAAAGGAGGGAGGGAGGAAGGAAAGTAGGGAGGGAGGGAGAGAGGAAGGAAAGTAGGGAGGGAGGGAGAGAGGAAGGAAGGGAGGAAAGAAGGAAGGTAGAGAGGAAGGGAGGAAAGAAGGAGGAAGCAAAGGAGGGTGGGAGGGAGGAAGGAAGGAAAGTAGGGAGGGAGGAAAGAAGGAAGGGAGAGAGGAAGGGAGGAAAAAGGGAAAGTAGGAAGGGAGGGAGGAAGGAAAGTAGGGAGGGAGAGAGAGAGGAAGGAAGGGAGTAAGGGAGAGAGGAAGGAAGGGAGGAAAGAAGGAAGGTAGAGAGGAAGGGAGGAAAGAAGGAGGAAGCAAAGGAGGGTGGGAGGGAGGGAGGAAGGAAAGTAGGGAGGGAGGGAGGGAGAAAAGAAGGAAGGGAGGAAGGAAGGGTGGATGTTGTGGTGTGAGTCTATAAACCCAGAGGCGGAGACAGAAGGGCTGCCTCAGTGCAAGGCTAGCCTGGGCTATGTCTATGTATTAAGATTCTGCCGGGAGAAACAAAAAGACGATGAGGAGGAGGGAGGGAGAGAAGGAAGGGAAAGAAGAAATATGGCTGGATGGCCGGATGCAAGAGATTTACAGCTATACTGTTCCTTGTTGTCCAAAATTCCTGTGACTGGATATATATTTTAAATAGAAGAAACGTATTCCAACATTTTATGACAATTTAGAAGCATCCGGCTGACTTGAACCAATGGCGAAATGACTGAGTAGCGTGCCCTTCCTAAATTCTACCATTAACCTTTTTGTAATGTTTTATCACTTACCCACCCGTCTTGCAAGCCTAAATCCATTTTATTTTATTTTTCTAGCGGTGTAACTTGCAGACAGCAGTACACCCTCCCCTAAAGGCTCACACATGAACGCCTGCAAGCACAGCTTGCCTCTGTATGTAGTCCACGCTGGCCTCAAACTTGTAAGCCTTGCGTCCATCTGTGGAGGGCTAAGTTTATAGGCACGAGACACTACGCATGGCTAAACATTTGTTTGCTTGTGTGTTTACGTGTATTTATTTGATTCGTATGTGCACGTGTGTGCACGTGCAAGTGTGCCAAGTGAAAGGAAAGAAAATGGGAAAAGAGGTAAGGGAGAGGGAGGAAAAGAAGAGAACGGGAAGGGAGGGGGGAGGGGAAGAGCAAGTAGAGGAGGGAGGGGGGGAAGGAAAGGCACACTTAGCCAGACCTTCCCAGACTGGATGTAGTTACACACTTTTCTGAAGAAAGTAGAAGGGAAAGTGCGGGTTCTAAATCTCCTTCCTCTGCACGCCCCTCCCCCCTCCTCAGCACACATCCTGCCCTAAAGCCAGACCGTTCCTTCGCTTTTGTTGTTATTGTTCTGTTTTGACTTTGAACCCTGCGCGCAGGAGTCGTTGACGTGAGTCTCTTTGCCTCATACCCAGCGGTTTATGGCATAGTCATCACTTCTTAGAGACGGTGAACGGCGAAAGGACGGCTTGAAAGACAGCTTGTACTTCTCAAAGCGATGAAGACACGTCTGTGGTTCCGCTTTGAAGCGCACCGGGAAGAAAAGAGAAGAAGAAGGAAAAAAAAGCACTTGCTGTAACATTTAGCACGTGTAAAGGAATTCTGGATAAATGGGCCACCTGTGCGTCTGGTGATCCGCTTCCAGCGTTTCAATAGTGGCTGGAAGGCGCTCAGCCTCGGCTGATAAAACCCAGTGATGCAAGGCTCAGCCCGCTTTGAGCAATCGCCCCAGAGTCTTGCCTGGTGCTCCCCCACTCCTAGGATATGTGTTTTGGGAAATCGCCAACCTTTTCACAGATGAATGGATAACGTGGAACAAAGAACTGAAAGCAACAAAGCTGGTCACAATCCCTCCCCCTTTTCCAGACGCGGAGCACTTACCGGCCTTGAACTTGCTGTGTCCTAGAAGATGACCTTGAACTTGTATTCCTCCTGCTACCACTTCGCCCACACTGTGTTTACTTCTTGTGTGTGTACGGTCTGGGGCTCGAACTCACGTCCTCATGCACACTGGACACACACTCTAAAATCTAAGTATAGACCCAGCCCGTGTCCTGCTTTGTTTCGTTTTGAATCAAAGTGTGATTTTTTTTAATTATGTATATTT